ATGCATAACCCATGGGCACAGACAATAGGGTGCTGAAGGCCTGGGGTGGGGGGTTAGAGGCGGTCATTGGGGGAAAGGGGGGCATAGGTAATACTTTCAACAATAAATAATTACTAAATTTGCCCTAGCCGGTTTGGCTCAGTGGATGGAGCGTCGGCCTGCGGACTGAAAAGTCCCAGGTTCGATTCCGGCCAAGGACATGTACCTTGGTTGTGGGCACATCCCCAGTGGGAGGTGTGCAGGAGGCAGCTGATCGATGTTCCTCTCTCATCAATGTTTCTAACTCTCTATCCCTCTCCCTTCCTCTCTGTGAAAAATCAATAAAATATATATTAAAAAAAAAAAGAATCACTTAATTTTTTTAAAAGAGAGTTGTCCGTCCTACAAATCCCCTTAGGGCCTACCCCACTGTGCTGTGCTCAGCTCCTGTGGGAGTGGAGTATGCCATGGCTCCAACTCTCATCTGACAGTCTTTTTAGTTGTGTCATCTGGAGAGGCTGGAGTTACAGCTGTCTGTGTAGCCAGAAGCTTGGGTACAGGCTCCACCATCAAACATTTATAAATCAGAGTTCAAATTTATTATTATTATTATTACTAGAGGCCCGATGCACGAAGATTCGTGCAAGAATGGGCCTTCCTTCCCCTGGCTGCCGGCACCGCCTTCGCTCCGACTGGAGCGCCTTTCTACCTTCCCTTGCTGCCCAAAGGCCCGGAGCGGCTGAGGCAGTGTGGAACACCTACATTGTCCTGCCCCACCCCCAGCCACTGTGCGCCTGAGTATGCAAATTAACTCGCCATCTTTGTTGGGTTGATTTGCATACTCACTCCTGATTGGCTGGTGGGTTTCACAAAGGTACAGTCAATTTGCATCTTTCTCTTTTATTAGTGTAGATTAGTTTTTGGTATTCATATGTTTTATTTATGAACTGAATTTGGTATCTTAGAATTTTTTTTTTGAAACTATGGTTCCCATTCTGGCTTCCTTGCTTCTTCGTAGTCCAATCTAGGTCAACAGGAGAAAATAAGACCATTGTTCCACATCTTACTTAAAAAGAAAACACCACCACCTGGTCACCGTTTGGGGTGGGGTCTGCCGGATGGGGGTGATGCAGCCAGGCGGGCAGGTGGGCACGCATCGCCGGCAGCCTGGGCCTCACTTGTCCTGTAATCAATTCCCAAGTTTATTCTTGAGTCCAATTTTGGTCACAAGGTTGGCCTTGATTTCCTTTTAAGCACAGATGTTTCTTTCAGTGTGGAGGGACAACCCATGTGTTGCGGCTCAGCTGGTCACCTGATGGACATTACCTGGTGTCTGCCCATGCCATGAACAACTCCGGCCCCACCGCCCAGATCATCGAGCGGGAGGGCTGGAAGACCAACATGGACTTTGTCGGACACCGGAAAGCTGTGACTGTCGTGGTGAGTGTGCTCAGAATGGTCCCCTCAGAGCCTGCGCAGTGCCGTGCTCACCAAGGCTGGGTCACCAAGGCCGAGATTCAGCACATGTGATGTTCTTGTTTCACTTTAAATACTGATGTTTCAGTGTTTAAAAATTAAATTTAAAAAATAGAATACGTACTCATGTGTTTATTGGCAAACTTTACATGATGAATATCACCAAAATCAGACTTTGATTAGTAACACTGGCTCTGCACTAGCCTCTTTACACATTCGGGTCTGCTGGTGGGTGCTCCCACATGGTGGTCCTGACAAGTGCCCCACCCACCAGGCTCTGGAGGACACAGGTGCAGTTTGTGCATCCATCGAGCCCGTGCGTTTATCCCGGGGCTCCACCAGTGGCCACTGTAGCTTCAAGGCTATGCTTTGGGTCACTGGAGTCCTTGTCTGATTCTGGAGCTGTCTGCCCAGTTTTGATGTGGAAGGGGGAAGAGTGCCAGAAGATGTGAGCTACTGTTATTCTCTCAGGCTTCAGAAAATAACACTCTTTTATGCTTTTGGATGACTTTCATTGAAGAGTGTTTTGAGAGTGCCCAAGGCAAACACTGTGAGGACCAGAATTTCCTCAACACTGGGTACCACAACTAAGTCAATAGATTGATGGGCTAAGGCTGATAGATGTGAAGGATCATCCACGCGCCTGTTCTCAGTTTTTTTATTTATGAAAAAGGGGTTCCTTCTTCCCATTGTTTAAAGTGATAATATATACCATATAGTGTGACTTAAATTTATACAAATAAAATATCACTTCTTTAATATTTTTGTATTGGAGTTCATGTAAGATCTTGTTTGAAACTAGGACCATGTTGCTAAAATGTTTGAAAGTCACTGCTTCGTAGTTAGCATATTGCTTCCACATGACTCTCTCTCAAGTGAACCTCATGGAGCAACTGTGTGAGGTGGTTGTGAAGACACAAGCCCAGAATACATGCCTCTGGGTTCCATGTTCTCCAGTCTCTGTGCACCCCTGGCCATTCTTGCCTGCCCTCTGGAATTAGAACCCTTCTGGACCACCTGGCATACCCTTCCCTTTCAGTTTTCCTGGCTTAGTAGATTTCAACTCTGAGTCTAGAGCTCCCAACCCTTTTCAATTCAGGAAAGCAGCAAGGACCTCAGTGTGTGCTTCTAACCTTTCCAAAAAATGATGCCCTGGTTATACTTAGCCTGACGTAGCCATCATCCCTGTCTGTGAGGTCAAAGCAGGGCTGATCAGTCTTTGTAAGACGGTATTGACTGAGCAAGAAATAAAGTGAAAGGAAAGGAACCCTGAACAGCCTCCCCTCAGGACCTTGTCCCTAAAGCTCAGGTCCTAGAGCTGGTCCTGCCCAGGCCGGGAGGAATTCAGTAGCTCCCTTGCCATGGCCCTGACTGTAGGCCCAGCCTGGAGAGTTGGTAGAGCCTGTTTCAAATCCCCCTCTCACCACTTACTCATTTGGTGACTCAGCACATGTGTTTTGGCCTCTCTGAATCTCACTTCAGCCTCAGCAAAATGCCTCCTGGGTAGTTGTAAAGATCAAATAACATATGCTGAGTGCCTGGGCCAGGAAGATGTCTGTGTGGACTGCCCATCGGTGGACTGCAATTGTGGTATATTTGTAATACTTGGCATGGGGTACATGCTTGAGGCTTGATCAATTATTTTAGCATTTGTTATTTGGCTTTAGAAATTCAACCCAAAAATCTTCAAAAAGAAGCAGAAGAATGGGAGTTCTACGAAGCCCAGCTGCCCGTACTGCTGCTGTGCTGTTGGCAGCAAGGACCGTTCTCTCTCTGTCTGGGTGAGCCCCCCATCATGAGCTTTTGCTGCTCCTGAAAGGTGACAGGAGACAGGGCTGGTGAAGGTTTGGCAGCCTGCAAGAAGAGGGCCCCTGCTTCCACCCTGTACCTGGGTCAGGCCCACTTATTACCCCTAAAGGAAGCTGAAGACTGGGCCTCAGCCCAGCCAGAGCAGCTCTTGTGTCCAGACTCAGGGAACACTTTAGTTGGCATGTTTTGTTTGCATCATTTAAAAACCCTGTATCGACATGTAACCTAGATGAAGTATACAACTCAGAGCATTGCCATAACATGTTTACACATGTAACCACCACCCCAGAACCCTCTGCCAGAGCAACCATTCTAATGACATCTGTCACATTGATAAGTTTTGCCTGTTTTTAAGCTTTATTTGAATGGAGTTGTGCAGTGTTTACTTTTTCTTGTGTTGCATTCGCTCGGCACAGTGTTGTCGTGTATGCCGTTACATTAAACGGTAGTTTGTTCCTTACTAATGTCCCCAGAAGCAGAGGTTTGGAGGTTGTCCTCTGATGCATTTATTGTGGTCATTTGTCACAGAAATTGATTGCTGTGTACACTGTGATTTTTTCAGGCCCAGTACTCATGTTACATCCATTCCAGAACCTGACCCTAGTGCCATAGGCAGTTCCAGGCATGTTCTTCCTGGCCTGGGGCTCCATTCATGGTGCTTTGACCAAAACATCACTGCTCGTGTGCTCATGTTTCTTATAAAATTGAGGTCAGTTGCTCACACAGGTCCAGATTTCTGAGGGGTCTGTAGACACATTTTTGGGATGAGGGGCAGGGCTCTTTTTTCTGAAAGTACAATTAGGGTAGGGGCAAGATTTTTCTTGTGGATTCCAGGTAGCTCAGAGGCCAGCCCTCTGCTCAGGATTAGGATGGTCGAAGCTACTCCTTTTCCATAAAAACAGTCCCAGCCTCCTGGAAGCTTCCACAGTACTTGGTGGGAGCCCTGCAGAAAGGTGTTCCCACCCAGCCTACCGCTCTGTGGCCCCAGGACCTGTCAACAGGTGGATCTCAGTGTAACTGTGGGAGCATGCAGACAGTGCAGGGCCCAACATTAGAATTACTAGATAATGAATATGCACGTGTGAATGTTCTGCAGTCATCTAAAACAGAAGTGTACAGGATATTTCATGACATGCTCAGTAGGTATTAAATGAAAAGGCAGGCATAACCATGTGCCTTATTTTGTAAACCAGAAGAAAATAATTCATCCAACAGTAATAGTGGTTAACTTTGGGTCTGGATTAGGGCAACATAAACTGTTTTTGTGTGTTTCTGAACTATCCGCACACAGTGTAGAATGAGCCTGTGTGACATACGTAGCCGTTTACACCAAGCCTTGTACAAATGTGTACCATAGTTCCTTGGGCCCAGAGAAGATATGCTGCATTTTCTCTGGAACTATTTTCCTGCCTCATTCCTGGCATGCCTTCCCCTGCTTGGCAGACCTTCTCTGCTCAGGTCTTGGCCCTTCTAGAGTCCCCTACTCCGTCATTGGTTGTCTGTGTATGAAGTCATCTCCCCGCACCAGAAAACAATGAGCCCTTCAGACAGGGAGCATTCTAGTTTGCATATTTCGGCAAACTTTGGTTTCTATAGTTTGGGATCTTGGTCGTTGCTGTTTGAAATTCTGACCAAGTCTTCTAGGACTGATAATGTTAACTGAGCTGAGTGAACAAAAAATGGTTTTCATTCCTTTTATTAACCTTTGCTGCTGCTTTCTTTCCAGCTCACGTGTCTTAAACGACCTTTGGTTGTCATCCATGAGCTGTTTGACAAATCCATCATGGATATTTCCTGGTAAGGTGGATTCCTGTAATGATGTACATTAGGCTAGGAAAGGAGAAGCCACACATTGGAACATGAGACCCCCGGATGTGATTAGTGTCAGGTAGCCAGGGACCCACCCCAGGTTTGACACGAGCAGACCCCAGGGTGCTGTTTGTACACGATTCAAGAACGGGCAGCGTGGTCCTGCTTGTGGGAGAGTATATACTGCTGTGCTCTTAGCTCTGTTGGGATTTGCCCTGGAAAATGCCTTCTCCAACAAATTGGTATTTAGGAAAAGGAGAATGCTGTGATCTTGGTTCCACTTCACTCTGTCCTTGCATGAACCAGATTAGCATAGGTGTGGAGGCACAGTCTGCCTCTCAGTGACCTCATTTAGATTTATACTCCCCCACATGGTTTTTTTTTTAATGGTTTCAAAAATAAGATAAAGAAAAATAAAATTCTTACAAAGTTCATGATGAAAGATACTTTGTGCATGTGCTTAGAACTAAAGGGTGCCAGAGCCTTCTGGGACTCTATTGTCTGCCCTATCCGCATCCCCATCCCCACAAGGCCACAAAAGGGAATCCGAGATTCTCAGTGTCTACCTAGAGCTCTGCCCTATTGTCCTCTCGGCCAACCACTGAGGCATGCGTGAGCACCACGGACTTGCTCCCGGGCTGCTAATGGTCATCTCTTTCAGGACTCTGAACGGGCTGGGCATCCTGGTGTGTTCCATGGATGGCTCTGTGGCATTCCTAGACTTCTCCCAGGATGAGCTTGGAGACCCCCTGAGCGAGGAGGAGAAGGTAGGAGAATAGCACACTGCGGGCTGGTGACCTGTGTGCTGCGCATGCTCTGAGGCCACAGACGTGGCCATGATGGCTCTGGGAGGCCCCTTCATTTGGACCCTCGTCTTGTGACATACACAGATACATTGTTTCTTTTCTTTCTTTCTTTTTTTTAATAATTCTTTATTGTTGAATACGTACTTTGTTTCTTAACGTATTATTGGGTGTTCGTCTTTTATAGGTCGTAATCCTTGTCTTCTTTAGAAAATACATTAATTTAAAAATGAATCTCGGTTCTTGTCAGAAATCAGTTCTGGAATGAAGAATAAAACAATTTTGGGCATCTCTTCCTGAACTGATAATTAGCCACACACTGGGAGCTTTCACCCTGGGAGAAAGCCAGAGAGAGAGAGAGCTCCCAAGGGTCCCCACTCACCTCACTTTCCCCATTGTCTTGTACTGACAAGGTTGCCATGGAGCAGCAACTAAATAGTAATACTGACCATTTTTCAGCACTTACTGTGTACCAGTCTCTGGACCATATGTTTTGCATATATTTTATTTAAAATATACAAAACCCTTTAAGGCAGAACTTACTCGTTTCATCAATGAGGTAACTAAACCACGGAAAATAGTATGGCTCTTTGCCAAGACCATACGGGACCTTTTGGTACAAGAACAGAAGCCTGACCCAGGCCCACTGATTTGGGCCAGGCCTCCTCCCTATGCTCTGCCCAGGACAGTGTGGCCATGGGCCCTTCCTCAGGGGCTTCAGGAACGGCTCTGCTCTCACTACCCTAGACTTAGAACCAGTGTTTCTACAAATGGCCTTTGTCTGAAAGGAGCCCTGTGAAAGCTCAGAGTAGGTGGGCAGCTCTCCCCGCAGTGATTCAATTACTATAGAAGTTTGGGCCAGGCCTCCTCCCTGTGCTCTGCCCAGGACAGTGTGGCCATGGGCCCTTCCTCAGGGGCTTCAAGAACGGCTCTGCTCTCACTACCCTAGACTTAGAACCAGTGTTTCTACAAATGGCCTTTGTCTGAAAGGAGACCTGTGAAAGCTCAGAGTAGGTGAGGTGGGCAGCTCTCCCCGCAGTGATTCAATTACTAGTAGAAGCTTCCTCTTAAGCTACTGTGGGGACCCCCACCCCCACTATGAGGTAAATCTTTCGGGGGTAAGAGTCTGAGTTGTTGACAGCACCTAGAATAGGGCCTGGCACCCTGGAAATGTCTTGTCAATGAGAGGATGAGTGTCTTGGCCTCAGGTCTTCTTTGCACCTTTCACAGTCCTCAGGTAACCTGGGATCCACTGTGCACTCCCCTCCCCCTTGGAGAGTCGCAGTGGGAGCCTATGTAATAACCTGTCTAGCTACCATTTCCCAGATGACAGGCAGGGACCGCGTGTATGAAGAACACTAGGGAAACATTGGTCAAACTCTGAATTCTGCCTCGAGATTCCAGGGGAGGGATTTAGGAGAAAGGGGACAGGAGCCAGGGTGGTAAGGGAGGGAGGTTCCTGGCCACATACAGGCACAGCAGGCCCTGCAGGAGTGAGTCCCAAGATGCCACTTCCCCCACCCAGCATCTTCTGCTGTGAGGCAGATGTCCTACTGACCTCCACATTGGTCATTGCGCATCCTTATGTGAATCTGTTCTTTATCGCAGCAGTCACTCCAGTGTTCTGGGGACATTATCCCTGCCCTTGTGGGGTCCCATCTGACTTGTTTTGGCATGCGACCAATGAGACTTGGGAAGATGAAGAGAGGGGCCCTCTCAGAAGGATCGAGGCAGGAGGAACAGAGGATTTCCCTAGATCAGCTGTGCTAGGCCTCCCCTTGTTCTTAGAAACACTGTTAGCAGCCCCATGGCAACCTCCAACCACATGGGGCTGATGGCTGTAGATAAGAGCAATGAAAGCAGACTCTGGTTTCAGTATCTGATTCCCAAAGAGTGTTTGGGGTCCTTGGGGTGATTTAAGAGCCTTAAGTTAGCAATTTGAGTGTCTTAACTTCAGTTCATCAAACATTTGCCATTTGTTCTGCATCAGACATGTAGTAGGTTTTTTCTAGTGGGTTACTCATTCACTTTTGTCCCCAGGTATAGATACACGGGAGACTGTAAACATCTAGGAAAGATACAAGACTGTTCCAGAGTCATCTAATTGGCAACAGGCAGAATAGGGTGTTTTTCTAGTGGGTTACTCATTCACTTTTGTCCCCAGGACAAAACACCTATAAACACCTAGGAAAGATACAAGACTGCTCCAGAGTCATCTAATTGGCAACAGGCAGAATAGCATAGGAGGCAATGGAGAACTGGCATCTGGCGCTCTGGGACCCCCGCCCAGGGCCCTTTCTGCTCCCAGAGCCAGGAGAGCTAGCACAAGTTCACTTGGCTGCTCACCAATTTGGATGAACTGTGTCATTGTTTAAAGAATCTTGGAAGAGAAGAAGCACACTTTGAACCTCTATTCTCTTCACATGTAGGTATGTCTAATATTTTTATTATTTGAATTCAATTTTTTTTACAGTTTTTTTGCAGAGTTAAGTTTATACAAATGATAAGAAAGACAAGAGGATTTTCATTTTTGGTCATACTAGATTTGTAGTCAAAGAGTCAAATGAGTATATTTTATTTATTTATTTATTATTTTAAAAATTTATCTTTATTGTTGAAAGTATTATAGATGTCCGCTTTGTGTTTTGTTGTTGCTGTTTTCCCCATTGACCCCCTCCTCCCCACACCCACCCCCCCACGCTTTTGCCACACTATTGTCGGAGTCCATGGGCCATGCATGTATGCATATAAGTTCCCTGGTTAATCTCTCCCTCACCCCCACCTTCTCTCTGAAATTCATCAGTCTGTTCATGGTTCTGTGTCTCTGGATCTGCTTTGTTCATCAGTTTATTTTGTTCTTTCGATTCCACAGATGAGTGAGATCATGTGATATTTACCTTTCTCTGACTGGCTTATTTCACTTTTTATTGGCTTTATTCAGTGATTCATAAGTTGGGCAGCATTCGAGGAAGTTATACAACAGGTCGAATAACATACTTTTTGTTCAACGTCATTTCGTTATAATGTTGATGAGAAAAAAAACATTGATTACTGGCCAGAGCCACTGTCTGTGTGGAGTTTGTATCTTCTCTCCATGTCTGCCTGGGTTTTCTCTGGGGACTCTGGTGTCCTCCCACATCCCAAAGATGTGCATGATAGGTTTACTGTCCCAGGTATGCCCGAGCTGCCGAGATAGGCTCCAGCCACCCGTGACTGAGTAGTGGGTTGGAAAATAATCACCGTACTTGTTTTTATTAATCTTCCTTCAATGTATGTATAACTCACATATATTTCAGCGTTGAATATTGGAAGTATTTTGGGTCTTTACTTAGAAGTTTGATGGTGTTTTTGTGACCAGAAATATGCCATAGGAACTTAATTCTTGTTTATATCAATTAGCCTCTGGTAAAATTGGTTCCCTTATATGTTGTTCCACGTTAAGTCATAGTTTCCAAGAACCTGTCGATGACATTAAGTGAGGATTTACTGTGCTGAGAACATTAGTTTCAGTCTCTGCCCTTAAGAAACATCTGTGGGCTCCTCTTTCTTCTCCCTGAGGGGTGGAAGGTAGAGATGGGGCAGGAAGGTTAGAATTTCTTAGGGTGCTTAAACCATCTTTAGGAGTTTGTGAAGGGTGATGAACCTCCACAGGTGATTCAGACAGTGTGTGACCCTTGGTTATGAGCTTTAGTGGAAGAAAGTTTGCAAACCACAGCTTAGAGACAAAAGTGTGGCTCATGGGTGCAGGTCTCATCTGTTAGTTCCCTTGTTGACCCCCAATGGCCACTTACTTTCCCCTGGAACCGGGCCAGGCCTGCGTACTGGTGACGAAGAGGAAGGGGCTGAGCTGGTTCAGCTGGGAGCTTTCTGTCCTTTCTTGCCGGAAGTGGAGCATGTACCCTGATAAAAACATTTATTCTTTGATTGAGTGGCTTAGTTTAGTTGGACCAGAAGACTACAGAAAGGCAATTTAGAATACATTTCCTTAGAAACCTTATTTTTTGATAATTGGAGATGGTTCATATAAACGTTTCCATTCATTTATATCATTCTACTTTGCCAGAATCTTTTGAAGAAACAAGTTGAGACTCGGACAGCAGACGGTCGGAGAAGAATCACACCTCTCTGCATAGCACAGCTGGACACCGGGTACTCGTTCATTCACCGAGCTTTCTGTGGCCTTGTCTGGGAGCTCTTCCTCTCGCCTTTCACCACTTAGCACTTTCATAATTAGGGTCTTCACAGGCTCTTGGGCAGATCTGACCCATAGAATCTGGAAGTGAGAGAGTTGGGCCCAGCTTCCCACCAACCTCCAAGGCCAGTGCTCCTCACAGAGCCCTTATGCAAACTTCTGCTGAAGGTGGGCTGGGAAGGGCCTGTGACAGGCCAGCAGCCAAGGGCACCTTCACAGGGTCAGCGTGTCTACCAACCCTGCCAACCCTGCTTCATCTTGCGAGGGCATTACAAAACCTGAGGTAGAGAAGTTGGACTGATTTTTTTCCGTTTCTTTTTTCCCTTGTATAGCCTTCTTTTTAAAATTTTTTTGTGAACGTAATACATATATTTATTATTGAAAATAGTAAAGGCCCAAAGAAGATACAAAACCTGAGGTAGAGAAGTTGGACTGATTTTTTTTCCCGTTTCTTTTTTCCCTTGTATAGCCTTCTTTTTTAAATTTTATTGTGAACGTAATACATATATTTACTATTGAAAATAGTAAAGGCCCAAAGAAGGACATAAACCTTACCCTTAATTCAGTCTCTCAGATATAATCAATGTTAGTATTTTGGTATCTGTATCTCCAGTCTTTTCCCGACTTGTTCCTATATCGTGACCTTGCATCCATTTTAATAAATAGTCCTCTGAAGCATTGCCTTGCGATTGTCCAGGTTCCCAGCCTGTGAATGCACCATGATTTACTTAACCAGCCCCTTAACTGTGGACTTGTAGTTTTTTATTGTAAATGAGTAACAGCTCACCTGTGACTGTTACTTCAGGCTACTTCCCAGAAGTGGAACTGTTGGGTGGAGAATGGGTGCTGAAGCACATTTCCCTGAGGAGGCAGAGAGGGGGGGAAACTGGACTCAGTCACCATTTGCTGTGTCTTAGCATCTATCGTCAGGCTTGCTTTTATATGGGCCCCTCTCCCCAAAATGATGGATGTTGATTCAAAGAATGATAAAGCCCAGTATGAAAGAAATAGACCCCCCCCCCCCCGCCCCCACTCTGGGTTATACTCATGCAGTCAGCCTACTCAGGGCAACCACACACTGTAGTCCTCTGCACTTTGCAACTGTTCATCCATGAGCCTGCTCCAAATCTTCTTAGAAGTCTAAAGAGACCTTTAGTCATACGATGTGCTGATTGACCTCTGAGGCCCTGGAGGACAGACACTTGACCCAATGGAGCCTGTACCAGTTTCCTGGCTCCTCCCAGAGAGTGGTTTTCCTTTGATCAAGCCTTTTCCCCATGCCACCGGCTGCCTACCCTTTATTAGGACCAAATCAGACCAAGTATATGACACTGCAAGACTTGTGGGAGTGAGGGTCGTGGAAGTGGTGGAGGTGGTGGTGGTGGTGGCATTTTTGTTTTGTAGATCCCTCCAGGCCTCACCTTGTGAGGGGGCAGAGGGAGTAGATGGCTTCCTGCCTGGCCTTGAGCCAGCTTTCTGCTAGAGGACTCATTTTCTGGCACCAGAATCTGATTCTCTTGGTCTCCAAGGCTTCTTTGCCCTCCTGATACCCATATTAAAACAAGTAGTAACAGAATAGCTAATTATCAGCTTAGCTAATCAAGAAAGAAAAAAAGCACAAATATGTAAAGTAGAAATAAGTGGGAAATAATTACAAATAAAGAATAAATTAAAAGGATGAAAACTTTGCTGAACTCTATGCAAATAAATTTGAAAATGGATGACTTTTGAGGAAAATAAAATTAGCAAACTGAAGAAAATCTGTACAGATGAGTTATTATAGAAGAAATAGAGGACACTATCAAAGAGTTAATCTGCCAAAAGCCACCAGACTAAGAAGGGAAATTCTAACACTTTGAAGGAACAGATCATTCTAATACTATTGAAAACATTCTAGTGCATAGAAAAGGAAGGAAAGCTTACAAAATCTTTATCTTTGAAGTGAACACAATATTTACATCAAAACTTGACAGATAGAACATAATAAATTACTGATCAATCTCATTTCTGAATGTCAATGCAGAATCCTAAATAATTAGTAACAAACAGAACCTTACAATGTGTTAAAATGTTAATGCCCTATGACCAAGTGAAGTTTATTTTGGGAAAGCAAAGTAATTCAAATTTTGGAAAACTTAATTTACTTCTACATTTTAATATATCCCAAAAATGATATGATCATTTCTAGAGATGCTTAAAAGGCATATTTATTTAATTCAAAACTCATTTAAACAGGAATAGATGTATGCTTGATAAACTATCTTATTCAAATTAAAGAACTAAAATGTCTACTCTTGTGACTATAACATCATTCTAGAGATCCTTGCTCAGTCAAGAGAAACAATAAATTGGATAGGAAATGGTAAATGTATTATTATCTAAAGATGATTTGATCTCTATAAGAGAATCAACTGGAAAAACTGCCATAGACAATAAAAGAAGAAAATAAGGTGACTATACACAACCTACATGATGAGATCAAGTACCACCAACTACTTTTAGAAGATAAGAAGAAATCACTTTCACAAATGCAATACCTCAATGTAAGAAGAAATGTAGATATTTATGAGAAAAAAATTTAAACCCTACTGAGAGACCTAAAAGGAAATTCAAAGAAATTACACAAAATGCATACCATGTATTAGCTAGGATGACAACATCATAAAGATGACAGATTTCTCTCAGTCAATACAAATAACCACAGGAGCTTTCTGAATAAGACAATCTGATTCTGAATTTAAGTGGAAAAAGAAATAGGAATAGCTGAAATATTTTTGAAAAAATCAGGGAAGACTAGCCCTACCAGAAATTAAAGCAGTGAAGTACTAAAGTACTGACCCATGGAAACAAAGAACATTGGGCCCTGCCCAGTATTCCCAGTGGTTAGAGCATCAGCCTGAGGAACGAAGTATCTCAAGTTTGATTCCTGGTCAAAGGCATGTACCTGGGTTGGAGGTTCAAGCCCTGGCCCAAGTCGGGGTGCATGCATGTGGGAGGCAACCAATCAATGTCTCTCTCTCTCTCTCTCTACCTCTCCCCTCCCCGCTTCTACCCCTCCCTTCCTCCCACTCTCTCTTAAAATCAATGGAGCCTGGCCAGTGTGGCTCAGTGGTTGAGCATTGACCTGTGAACCAGGAGGCCACGGTTCAATTCCTGGTCAGGACACATGCCCGGGTTGTGGGCTCAACCCCTAGTGTGGGGCATGCAGGAGGCAGCCAATCAATGATTCTCTCTCATCGTTGATGTTTCTATCTCTCCTTCCTTCCTCTCTAAAATCAAATTTTTTTTTTAAATCAATGGAAAAAATATCCTCAGATGAGGATTAACAAAAAACAAAACAAAACAAAAAAAAATAGAACAGCCCTGGCCAGTTTCACTCAGTGGTTAGAGTGTTGATTCACACATCGAAGTGTTGCAAGTTCAATTCTGGTCAAGGGCATGTACCTGGCTTGTGGGTTCGCTCCCTGTCCCTAGTCTAGGCACATGTGAGAGGCAACTAGTCGATCTCTCTCTCTCTCTCTCTCTCTCTCTCCCTCTCTTTCTCTCTTTCTGTCTCTCCCCCCTCCCCCTTCCACTCTCTCTGAAAAGCAATGGAAAAAATATCCTCAAGTGAGGGGGGGTGGAAAATAGAACATTGGTATGCAATAGAAAACCCACAAATCGGCTCAGATATTTATGAAAATTTTATAAAGATAATATTTTGCATCCATGGTGAATCAGTATCTTCAATAAATGGGAGTCAGGACTATTTGATACTCTAAAAACAGAATTGGAGCCCTGCCTCACTTAAAATTCTGAACAGCTGAGAGATTTTTTTTAATGTTTAACTTTTTTGTTTAAAATTTTAGAAGAGTCCATAGAAGAATATTTTCATAATCTCTGAGGTAAAAAAGTATTTTCTATAAATGACAAAATTTATACCACACAAAAATAACATTTTTTTGGCAAAGAAAATTACACAATAAAGAATCAAAACACTATATTCTGGGGGGAAATATTTTCTGCTCATATAAGGAATTATTTTATATGTTTATAGCCTTAAAATCAATAATAAAGACCAATAACCAAGTGGAACAGTAGATGAATATGAACAAACATTTCACACACAAAGAAATCAGATGTTTCTATATGAAAAAAATTTCAATTTTATAAAATAATTGCATCAAAATAATTGCAAATTAAAACTATAGTAAGATACTATTTTTCATCTATCTGCTATCAAGAAATTTGATAAGCCCTAGCCAGTTTGGCTCAATGGATAGAGTGTCAGCCTGTGGACTGAAGGGTCCCAGGTTCAATTCCAGTCAAGGGCACATGCCTGGGTTGTGGGCTCGATCCCAGTAGGGGGTGTGCAGGAGGCAGCCGATCAATGATTCTCTCTCATCATCATTGATGTTTCTATCTCTCTCTCCCTCTCCCTTCCTCTCTGAAATCAATAAAAATATATTTTTTTAAAAAAGAAATTTGATGCCAGAACCGGTTTGGCCCAGTGGATAGAGTGTAGGCCTACAGACTCGAGGGTCCCGGGTTCAATTCCGGTCAAGGGCATGTACCTTGGTTGCGGGCACATCCCCAGTGGGGGGCGTGCAGGAGGCAGCTGATCAATGTTTCTCTCATTGATGTTTCTGGCTCTCTATCTCTCTCCCTTCCTCTCTGAAATCAATAAAAATATTTTTTTTTAAAGAAATTTGATAAAATTGTCAGGGTGTGGGTTATAGACATTTATAGACAGGTTGTAATTTAAACCTCTAAGGAGGGCACTTTAGAGCTATTTGCCAAAAATCAGTAATGAACATTTCATTGGCTGCTGCAATTCCACCTCTAGGAATTTATCTCATGTAAAAAGTGAAACAGCAGGTGTGATGACTGTTATACCAGTGGACATCTTTGAGCAGCTACTATGTGTTCTAAGTGTTTGCTACACTAACAACTTTAGTCCTGACAGCAACCCAATGGGGAAGGTCCTGTCACTTTCTGTTTTGCAGATAGGAACCTGAAGCACAGAGTGGTTGAAGCACCCAAGGTCCCAGAGCTGGTGCATGGCAGAGGAGTGAAACCTGGCTGGTTTGGCCCAGGGCCCTCAGTCTTAACACTGCAGTATCTTGCCTCCTGTTGCCGCAGTGTCTATTACTGAACAGGCTGGGAGACAGCCCAGCCCAGTTGTTCCTCAGTAAAGACTGGTTAGGTAAATGATAGTACATGCATATAGCCCATAAGAAAAGGGAGGTCCACTCTGGATGCTGTATTTCATTAGTTCTCAGACACATGTTTTTACATTTTAACACCTCTAAGGCCAGGATGCATCTGACGATTATATTTGGTAACAGTTTTTTCTTAGTGGTACATAAAGTATCAGTTCAACTTAGAGTCAGTTAAACACGAGTGTATGGAATGATTTTAGTTTTGTAATTTTGCAAATTTTCTTCTTTGAAAATAAATTATCTTTGGATCCAGAAAAAAAGTTACTTAGAATTGTATAAAGTGCTTGATGTGGTATCTGATTTCTGAGGCTGACTTTGTTCTTTCTGACCACAGGGACTTCTCCACGGCGTTCTTTAACAGCATCCCACTCTCAGGCTCCCTGGCAGGCAGCATGCTATCCTCTCATAGTAGTCCGCAGCTGCTGCCCCTGGACACCAGTACCCCCAACTCCTTCGGCACCTCAAAGCCTTCCACGGAACCTGCGGCAGCAGCCGGCACCAGGCCTGCGGGCAATTCTGTCAATAAGGACAGGTGAGTGGGCACCAAGGCTTCCTCCTGTCCCTGGGGAAAGTTTGGGTTTGGACACAGTTCCAGGGACACTTCATGGCCCCTTCAATAAAAAGAAAGAAAAGAGATCTGGATTTCAGATGAGGGCCTGCTCGGAAGGGAGGCCTTCATTCAGCTGAGTCTGATGCACAGGGCTGTGAGGACTCCACATCCTGGGGGAAGAGCAGTCCCAGGATTGGGCTCCTAAGGGTGGGAACCAGCCAGGGGCACGTCACCTGCCACAGGATCAACTCACCTTCTGGCAGGTCTGCACTGGAGGTGGCTTAGCCTCCACTGCATTATTGGTAGCATCACCACACCAGTCATCTCAGGCAGAGTGCTGTTGTGCTAGGGTAGAGTCATCTTTCACTCTCAGAATTACGTTTGCTCCAGGAGCCCGTGTCTTCACCAGCCATTACCTGGAAACCAAATTAGAAGTCAGTAAGAACCAGAGGAGCATGAATAAGAGCCAGGAGCCATTTACTCAGTGAACATTTACCCAGTACCTGCTCTGGGTTACACACTGCCAGTGCCCAGGCATCCACATGGGGTTGATTGGTGGGTCCTTGTCCCTAGAGAGTGTGTCAGCTGGTGGAGAAAGAGGCAAACACAGAGGCATAGGGGTGGCTCCTCGGGTCTCCTGTGTGGAAATGGCTAGCCATCCAAAGCGGGGGAGGGCTTGTTGGGCAGGTCTCAGAAAGGGTTATTGGAGGATGCCCTACCCAGGGCCCGTATAGACCATCCAGGGGAAGGGTTAGGGGACAGCAGCAAGAGCAGAACCCCAAGTCCCTGAGGAGTGTCAGTAAAGGGGGGAAAAGCTGGGCTTCACTGCTGAATCAGATACCCTGGGCTTCTCCTTAGAATGGAGACACAGAAGGCTCTGGTCTTGCACCTTAGACAGATCACTCCAGGAGGCACTGGTGCCCAAATATTGCTGCCACCCAGCTAAACTATTACTGTTAGAGTGATTCTCCATCGGTGGGGACAGGGTCTTGTGTGGGCTCAATCCCAGTAGGGGGTGTGGGCTCGAGGTTGATTGGTTTCAACCTCCACAAACACAGATACCCATGACTTTTTCCATATGATTGGTTACAGCCTCCTCCTTCCTGGGCTCTGATGTCATGGTCATGGAGGCATCACCAAGTATCAAGTGTCCCGTGCCTGAGGGGAGTGTGAGGGTAGATGGGAAGAGGAGATGGAACAGCTTGACCAGTTAGAAAGCCCCAGATTTGCAAAATGTTTCAATAGTTGGTCCTAGAGTTCCCTGGAGAGGAGGAGAGGCTATCTAGGATACCTGCCAGGCATCTGGTATCGGGTCCAGTCCGGTGGATTTGGTCATTGGGAGGCCCAGTGGTTTGGGGACCCAGTGTGAGGGATGCAGATGACCACAGGGTAGCTGGCAGGCTCATGCTTGGGCTCTCCTTTCTCGGAGAAGAAGGCAAGGGCTGTGGGATGGACACTGGGAGGAGAGTGAAGAATGTGAAATTGTTACATTGAGGGGCCACCGGGGCAGGAGGTTGGAGGCCAGGAATAGACAGTGGCTTCAGGATCCCAGATGGGGCTTTTCTCCTCGGACCCACTGTCAAAGTGGGAAAAGCTGGTGGTTGGAGTGGTGTGGGTGGCTGTATTCAAGTTGTGGAGATGGGGCCGTATGGTGAGCAGAAAAGGGTTGCAAGAACCACTTTCTAGGCCTTGTTCTAACCCCCGAAGCTCTCAGAACAATGCAGTGGGGCAAATGTGAGTGCATTCTCCGATAGCCAAACTTGGAGAATTTTTTTTATAAATGTTTACTTTTTTCATATTTACCATTTTTATTTATTGATTTGGTTTAGAGAGATAGAAACATTGATTTGTTGTTCCACTTTTTCATGCATTCATTGGTTGCTTATAGTATATGCCCTGACCGGGGATCGAACCCACAACCTTGGTGCATTGGGACACGCTCTAGCTACCTGGCCATGGCAAACTTCCAGAATTTTAACATGTGAAAATATTTTTAAAATAGGAGTAGTACATTGTACCTCGAAATTTTTGTGTTTTTAGAAGTTTTATATTTGTGCCCCTTTCACTTGGCTCCAGGTAATGTAAATCCCAGACTCCCAAATCCCTGACGAATTGTGCTTGACATGCTCTCCCATCTTCTTTCCCACCCCAGCGTGAACGCTACTTCGGCTCCTGCGGCATCATCCCCCTCTGTGTTAACAACCCCATCCAAAATTGAACCCATGAAAGCGTTTGACTCCCGGTTCACGGAGCGGTCCAAAGCCACGCCTGGTGCTCCTGTCCTGACAAGTGTGACTCCGACGGCCGTAGAAAGGTAGGTGATGACTGTGTGGGGCTCAGAGAGACCAGGTGAGTGCAGTCTCAGGCGAGCAGTGCAGCGTCCTCTCTCCTACCAAGCAGCTTCCCTCCCTGGGGGAGCAGGCTTCAGTCTCTGTACTCGGGAGCCCCTGTTTCAAGGAGAAAGGAGTGGCTGCTTCAAGTGGGAAGGTTGCTGGAAGAGGCGTGGGGGTGGACAGAGCAGCTCTGCACAAGGACATGAGGGCAACAGCATGGCAGCTGGGCAGTGTGGGAGATGTGCTGAGAATAACTGTGTGTGAATGGAGCCCAGTTTGTGTGAATGTTCGAACCGAAACCAGAAGTCCTCACCTACTTTTTTAATGTTTCAGTTTTGGGGGATTTTATTGATAATTATAAGTTAATAATCATATGGAAAAAGCCATGGGTATCTGTGTTTGTGCAGGTTGAAAGAGCAGAACCTTGTGAAAGAGTTGAGGCCCCGGGACCTCCTGGAGAGCAGCAGTGACAGCGATGAGAAGGTTCCTGTGGCCAAGTCCTCCTCCCTCTCCAAGCGAAAACTGGAGCTTGAGGTGGAAACAGTGGAGAAAAAGAAGAAAGGGCGACCTCGGAAGGACTCACGGCTCATGCCCATGTCTCTGTCTGTCCAGGTGAGGCCAGCAGGTCTGTGCTAGCTTCCCCAGCCCACTTGTTGGGTTCAGTGCTGGAGCTTGCATGTGCCCAAGTGGGAGAAGGGAGGCCCTGGACAGCACAGTGTGCCTCATCAGTGTGGGAACAGCTGGTTAGACATGCGCTCCCCTGGATTAGCATGGAGGCACACTCCCCCTCAGACCTGCTCTTGACCTACCCAGAGTCCTTGAGCAGCCCCTTGGCGTCGGCTGCCTCATCTGTCAAGTGGGATCACTGGAGCAGTCATCTGTACTGTCCTCCCAGAGTGGGTGGAAATACCTGGGGAACTGGCCCAGCCTTATCTCTGGGTGACTCGCCTGTACCTGACACTGCCCGACAGTGCTGGGAGGGGCTCAGGGACATTTCTGCTCTTGCAGTCCCCAGCTGCTCTGACCGCAGAAAAGGACACTGTGTGTTTGTCTGTACCAGCGCCTACACTGAAGCTGCCCATGCCGGGCCCCCAGAGAGCATTCACCCTCCAGGTGAGCCGGCCCCCTGCCTCTCCCTCACAAGCGTGTTCTCTCTCTCTCTCTCCCCAGCCCCACTCCTTCCCCAACCCCCAGTGTAAACCCTGAATTGGCAAAAACAGGACTGTTGCCCATCATACTCTGAGGGAAATTGTAGTTGATCATGGCAACCACCAGTCTTATTAGCAAGATTACTGGTCTGTTCTCCAGGAGCCCCTTCAACCCCTGCCCCCACCACCACCATGCTTCTTTCTCTGTGGCTTTGCCCTCAAAGTCCCTGCTGCCATCTTCTGAATGGCCAGCTCCTTCCAGAATTGTCTCAGGAGTCCCTTCCAGAAGCCTCCTTCGTTCCACACTTGGTCCCAAGCAGCCTCAGACTCAGTGCCCATCGGACTGTGTGGTAGTGGTCTCCCTCCCAACCAGCCCACTGGCCCTGTTCATTTTCCTGGGCCCAGCACAGAGTTTGCATCAGGGCTCTTTTAACCATGTGCTTGTTCAAAACACAGTTTTTTAAATATTATTGTAGAGTAAATAATCCTTTATATGCAGAGGCCCTGTAGTCACTAGTCTAGCACCCATGCCAGACCTTTGCACACCCAGTCACTTCATGCCCTTTGCTCCTCAGGTGCATATCAATAGGAAGCCCTTTCAGACTCCATATGCAGGTCATTTCTCATAGGCTGCACACGGCCCCAACCCAGGCTGGTCCCCATGGGGTGTCGGCCCTTTCCTGCCACAGGTCCTTCTGAGCCTAAGAATAGGGACCCACATGCTTTGTTCTTGTTGCTGATATGAGCAGAGGCAAGGAGCACAACCCCCTCTCCCAAACTCCTCCAGCTTCCCCTGGGGGTTTCACCACTGAGTGCTGCTTGGAGCCCTTCTTGGTTTCTATATGGCCCTCTGCCCCAGGTAACCCACTTATGTGCTACACAAGTGCAAACTGTTCAGCATTCTGCCTGGTTTTCATACGGATTGTCAGTCATCTCCCCATACACAAAAGACAAAGTTGAGCCCATTGTGGAGCCAGGCACTGAACTAAGCGCTCCCATGCATATGGATGCGCTTCTAGGGACACTCCCGTGAGGTTGGTTTCAGATGAGCAGACAGAGGCTCACTACGAAAGGAACTAGAGAGGACTTCAGGTTTTCTAGACTTTTCCTCGGTTATTACCAAGCACTGTGATCTCTGAAGACGTTCAACTAGGAGCCACGTCTCCCCACCAGCTGTGTCCAGCTGGCTGTGGGCCTCGCTTGCAGTGTGCTCTTAGACAAGCCACATGCCTTCTCTGCGTGTTCCCTGTGAGAGGAGATGGTAGGGTTAGGAAGCTCTGGCGTCTCTAGCTCTAACACCAGTTCTCTGCTCTGCTACACGGAAAGAACATTGTGTTTACTTTCCTCCATTCAGGTGAGCTCCGACCCCTCCATGTACATTGAGGTGGAGAATGAAGTGACAGCCGTTGGGGGAGTGAAGCTGAGCCGCTTGAAGTGTAACCGGGAAGGGAAGGAGTGGGAGACGGTACTCACTAGCCGGATCCTCACTGCTGCCGGTAGCTGGTAAGGGTGAGGGTCTTCACCTGGCCCAGCATTTCATGTAAAGCAAGCACCATGTGTTGTGTTGTGTGGTGCTGATGCTGTTTGAGGAGATGCACTGCCCCCCAAGTGCTAGCTCCCATGGAGACTGCAGGTCTTGTCTGGGCTGAATGTGTGCAGTTATCCTCTTGGTCCCTACAACACCCAGTGAAGTTGGCGTCATTATCTCCATGGTACAGCTGGGAAAACTGAGTCCTAGGGGCTCACCCATGCCAAGATTTTCACCCAGGTGTTGTGATTCCCTTGTCTGGCCAGACTCCTGAAGTCTCAGGTCCCAGGCTGAGCTCTGCCTGGCTCTGACTTGGGCTGGTTCTTTCTCTGGATCCCAAATTTTAATCCAAGGAAGTCAAGATAGATTTCTGACTGTCCCCTCTGAGTTCCCAGTCCAGCCCCTTTCAGATTCTGCACTTTGAGGGGAGACCTTAATTCAGTGTTAGTCACGCAGGGTCTCACAATGGACTTCTGGGCCTCTATCCTTTGAAGCTGTCCCTGTGTTCACCCCCACCCTAGCCAGAAAGGCTTTCTGAGCACACAGCTGGTGTCCCTTATGGAGACACACTCCGTTGTTCCCACACTTCTGGCCTTTCTCGGCAGAGATCTTCTCAGGACTAGTCCAGCTAATTGTAGCCAGTAGACTGTTGAGTGGACGCTGTGTGGCCTCATATGACAAGGGAGGTGTGTTTTCTGGGTCACCATCAGTGGTCCTCTGAAGCACCCCCCGTCACAACATTAGGGTGAATTCGGAAAAGCTTGAGCAGCCTAGTGGGGGAGGAGAACATAGTCTCTAATGAGAGATCTCAGTTCTGTCAGCCCTGCTGTCCCGCCCTCCCCCAGTCCTACTGGCCGGCCCTCTCCCTGCCTCTCCGGCTGCTGCACCCACTCAGGCTCAGGCCCAGGTAGAAGGAAGGCTCTGTGCCTTGGGGCTCCTACCTCTGCCACAGCACCTGATCGTCATGACACCTATCCCCTCTCTGCCTTCTCAGTGATGTGGTATGTGTCGCCTGTGAAAAGAGGATGCTGTCAGTGTTCTCCACCTGTGGTCGCCGCCTCCTCCCACCCATCCTCCTGTCATCCCCAATCTCCACGTTGCATTGCACAGGCTCCTACGTCATGGCGCTCACTGCTGCGGCCACGTTATCTGTCTGGTGAGAGACAGGCCTGGGGTGAGGTGGGCTCCAGGCAGGGCAGGATAGGGCTGTATAGGTTCCTCTTCACTGCAGGAACAGGGGAGGCAGTGGAGGAAGCCGCCTGGCAGACATGCCCTTGGGCCCTGCTGGCATGGGGGTCTTTACAGGCAAAGAGACCCAAGCAGTTGGACACTGCTTGTGATGGCCACCGCACATGTGTGTGTACGTGTGGGGGAGGGGGCAGGTATGCAAGCGGAAGTGGGGCAGGCTGCCTACCCCTGCTACCACTTTTATAAGAGCAAACCACATGACAAAACACAATGTGCCAGGGTCCAAAACACAATGTGTGGGGTTCATCAGAATGGGATCTCAGCTGCCACAGTGTGACCACGCTTCTCCCACAGTTGGTATGGCGTTAGCGACGAGCCCCGCAGCTCTGTTGCCTGCGCCCTCTGCTATCGCCTCGTGTGGAGAAAGTAACGTGGCTCATGGGAGCAGAAGCCATTTGTGGCCCAGAGCTCCTCTCGGGGAGGCCGGGGCAGGGTGTGCACAGAGACCACAGAGCAGGGGTCTGAGCACCGCGGCGCACTTTCAGGCATTTACTCAGATTGGAGAGTAAGCTGCTTCTTATCTCCCTCCTAGGGATGTTCACAGGCAGGTGGTTGTGGTAAAAGAAGAATCTCTACACTCTATCCTGGCAGGTAACCGGCGATGGGCTGCCCCTGGTGCCCTGATGAGGGAGGGGACAGGGAAGCTCAAGTCCCAGGCTCCACTCAGCCTAGACAGAGAGCCAGAGCCAGTCTCTTGGCTCAGCTCAAGGTACTCAGTGTGACAAGGGGTCACAGTTATGTTGCAGGGAGATGCACCCTCTCTGGGGCGCATTTCATTGGCTCCCTGTGTGGTGACAAAGAACCTGTGGGTGGTGGTGAAAACAGCACTCACAGGGAAGAGACTCCCTAGTTGCTGAGTCAGCGTTAAGGCGCCTGTTTCTGGGACTGGGTGCCATGGTCAGATTCCCCTCGGTGCATGTGCAAGCACTTGCTGATCAGAACACACCCAGAATCCATTCTTATGGTGTCTCCCCAGGAAGCGATATGACGGTGTCACAGATCTTGCTTACACAGCATGGAATCCCAGTGATGAACCTGTCCGATGGAAAGGCCTACTGCTTTAATCCGTCACTTTCTACATGGTAAGCAGCCACCCTTCCCTGGCCCTGCCCCAGAGGAGAGTGTCTGTCCCAGGTGGTAACAGGTCATGTGGTACTTGCTCCTCAGGCCTGCCTGGCTTGGCTTTTCCTGAGAGTTGGGCCCTGGAGTAGAGGTCACAATGACCGCTTGGTGTGCTCTCTGCTGAAGGAGAGAGAACTCACACCCACCTGTATAGGCCCTACTGTCCCTGTTAGAGGCTAGAGGCCCACAGCCTCTCTGCTCTCAGAGCCCGTGTGCAGGGGTGCTTTGCTTTGTCTGCTGAGATCACTTCGTTTGGAATAGACATTTGAAAGTTCTTATGGTTGCAAATATATATTTCCAGCCTGGCTTCCTTAGCCATCATCAGCATCGGTGAGTCAGCTTCACAATACCTTCGCCAGCACATAGCAGTTTTTGAAGTCCAGTAGCGGTTTCGACTTTGTAAATTAGTAAGGTTGCACCATCAGCACATGCGGTGGTCTGTACCTTTCCTCCACCCACTTGGAATTTGGAGCTCATTTTTATATTTGTAAAATCCTTTCTGCATCAGAGATCTCAACCCCAACATGTAAACTGTGTGCATTGTATACCAGCCACTCTGAGAAATTCTTCTGCCGGCACCTTTTGGTCCCTCAGACCCAAGTTCTTGTGGCATTTTTCTGTTCAGAGTTGCCAGGCACAAATTCATCCCATACTAAGATCTCTTTCCTGAGTTAAGAAAAAAAAAAAAAGAAGAGGAAAAAAACTCCCCGCTGCCTGCTCTTCCATATTGCAAGATGTTGTGTATTATTATGTGATTACTGTAATAATGGAAATAAGCCAGGTATTTAAGAAGAAAAATGTTGACCCTCTGTATTTTGGGCATGTTTACAAAGGCACCTGGCTGTCTTTAAAGTGCGTAAAGAAAGTTTTCACAAAGATGGGAAGGGTGTGGAGAAGGTAAAGAGCTGACTGCCTCGGATGCTATGGAAGCACATGAAGGCTGGATGCTGGCATTCCTCAAAGCTTCGAAGGGCTGGGCCACGTGGGCTAGACCACTTCACACGTAGGCCTCCTGGCCCCAGGAGCCTTGTCAGTGACCTTCCCTGTCATGAATGTTCCCTTGTAATGAAAGCTGTCTGTGAGAGACCTGTGGTGAGAATGCAATGACCCTCAGCCTTCGCTGGTGTTCTGGTAACAGGTCTGTGGTGCTTGCTCCTTGGCAGCCTCGCTGCCAGCCTACCCTGCTGGACCTCCTGGTTTTTCTGAGCTCAGCTCCTGCCTTTGCCTCCCTAGGAACCTGGTTTCTGACAAGCAAGACTCCCTGGCCCAGTGTGCGGACTTCAGGAGCAGCCTGCCTCCCCAGGACGCCATGCTGTGCTCGGGACCCTTAGCCATAGTCCAGGGCCGTGCCTCCACGTAGGTAACCCAAGTGCCGGGAGAGGCGACTGGGTTGTGCAAGTACAGTCCCACGCAGGCCAGCTCTCTGACTGCTGTCCCCTGTGCTCAGCTGCTGCTCAGCACAGGCAGACTGTAGGTGCCAAGAGTTTGGGGCCCACACCAGATCATTTCTCAGGGTGCTGGATGCAAGCCCTGTTACTTCAGGGCCCAGATGCAGTTTGAGGTGCCACGGGTCATGGGCACTCGTGTATTTTGGTTGGGGGTCTGTCACCTCAGGGGTCTAAATGGGAGGTACAGAGCGGGGTACACCTGGGGTGCCAGAGTATCCAGGACGTCTGCAGCTGAGACATGGAGATGGGTAGGCCAGTGTGGAGACTGGCATCTGCCCCCCTGCTGGCTTCTTGCTGGTGCCCTGGGGTGCATGGTGGCAGCCTCCTGCCCACACAGTACCCACTGCCTCATGATGTGTTTCTGCAGTTCAGGGAGGCAGGCGGCCCGGCTTTTCTCCGTGCCTCACGTGGTGCAGCAGGAGACGACCCTGGCCTACCTAGAAAACCAGGTGGCAGCAGCACTCACCCTGCAGTCCAGCCATGAGTATCGCCATTGGCTCCTCCTCTACGCACGGTACCTTGTGAACGAAGGTGAGGTCCCTGGTGGTTCCTCCATTCTCCTGGGCCCAGCTCAATCCCTGTCCCAACACAACCCTCCTAAAAACCTGTGAGTCAGGGAAGAGGTACAGTGGCCTAGGGCTCCCTACGTTCCTTTCTCCCAGTCTGCCATGGTCATCCAAGAGGCCCTAGCCTCCAATTCCCTGTCAACATGATGGACACTCAGTCTCCCCACCCCCATCTCCTAGCCTGAGCTGTGATCAGGTCAGCTCAGCAGGCATCCAGCCCATTACAGGCTCCCAGCCCCTGAAGGGAGTGTTCTCTGAGGACCAGCAAGATTGGCAGCAAGAGAGGGTGAGGGCAGAGGATATGTGGAAAGACATGCAAATGTGATGCTCAGACTTCTGTTCTTCCCTCACACCCTTGGAGCATCAGTGGTCAGTGACCCCAGGGAGGGTGTCTTGCAGCATCCAATGTGCTTGCACTCCTCTTCCTTTTCTGAGCCCCCACATGCCCTGGAAAGGCTGGCCTCCTGTCCAGCACCTCCCCTTGTCCCTGCAGCCTAGCTTTCCCCCCAGGGAGGGTGTCTTGCAGCATCCAATGTGCTTGCGCTCCTCTTCCTTTTCTGAGCCCCACATGCCCTGAAAGGGCTGGCCTGCTGTCCAGCACCTCCCCTTGTCCCTGCAGCCTCGCTTTCCCTGCCAGGGCTCTCAGCACCTGCATCTCCTTCCCAGTATATGCCCACCCACACTTGCCCTGTTGTTCAGCAGAAAGCAAGGTGTGTTACAGGAAGTGACCATCCTGTTCTTAGGGTGACCTCCCAAAACCTCTCATCCTCTCTGCTAGGCAAGCATGGAGTCTGCCTTACCAGTCTTCCTTCCGCTTGAACATGGCCTCCAGAGATGGGGCCTGGGAACTGGCCCTCCCTAAGTTCTCCCTGTGTCACCATGAAGTTTACTGAGCAGCCTCCCCCAAACCTCTCCTGGCCTTGCTTTGCTTTTGACATCACCCTCTCCATTTTGTTTATGATTTAGAGGGTAAAAATGAAGTCTAGAAAGACAGAAAAAAAAAGTTCAAACCTCTACAAATTTTATTCCCAGAATTTGTATATCATGTTTCCTCTGATGCAACTACATGTTCTATATACCTTGCAATCCTATATAATCCTATATAATAAAAGGGTAATATGCAAATTGACCAAACGGCAGGACGACTGTTGTTTATGATTTAGAGGGTAAAAATGAAGTCTAGAAAAGACCGAAAAAAAAAGGTCAAACCTCTACAAATGTTACTCCCAGAATTTGTATGTCATGTTTCCTCTGATGCAACATGTTCTATATACCTTGCAATTCTATATAATCCTATATGATAAAAGGGTAATATGCAAATCGACCAAACGGCAGAACGACCAGTTACTATGACGTGCACTGACCACCATGGGGCAGGCGCTCAACGCAGGAGCTGCCCCCTGGTGATCAGTGCGCTCCCACAAGGGGAGCGCCGCTCACTTGCCCACAAGCTGGCCGATGGCTGGCTAGCAAGCACAGCAGCGGTGGTGGTGGGAGCCTCTCCGCCTCTGCGACAGCGCTAAGGATGTCTGACTGATGGTTTGTCAGTCAGACATCCCCTGAGGGCTCCTGTGTCCTGCTAAAAGGCACAGGCCGAGCTGAGGAACACCCCCCCGCCCCTCCGAGTGCATGAATGTCGTGCACCGGGCCTCTAATAAACGGGAGCCTCTCCGCCTCTGCGACAGCGCTAAGGATGTCCGACTGATGGTTTGTCAGACAGACATCCCCTGAGGGCTCCTGGACTGCTAAAAGGCACAGGCAGGGCTGAGGGACCCCGAGTGCACGAGTGCATGAATGTCGTGCACCGGGCCTCTAATAAACATATATACACACACATACATACACACACACACACACACACCTCTGAGGACAAGCATGGCTGACCAACTCAAAGCCCCTCTCCCTTCCCCAGCAGACTCCAGTAATGAGTTTGATATTTACTCTCCAGTCTGTGTGGTCGCCCAGCATGTGTGATCACTGGCATTTCTAAATATTCAGTCTTCGCAAGCCCTCCCCCCTTTTCTGGGATGCTCCTCACACCCCATTCTGCTGGGGAAATGCCTCCTCTGGCTCCTCCGGTTTCCTTCATCCTGGCTGTTGATCAGGACTCACCCTGATGCCCTTTATAAAGCCACTGCCTCCTCTGGGGCCTGCACCCCTTTGTGAAATCACTTCTGCCGCTTGCTCCTCTTCATCTTTCACGTGTCTGTTCCAGTGCCCATACATAAGTCACCTCCTCTCTTTATCCCTTGCTTCCTAACTGTAAAAGGAGAACTCAAGTTTTAATAGGAGACCCCTTTCCTTGAAATTCCTCAGATTCCAGCTTCATCCTCTTATTTCCACTCTCATCTTTGGGTGATTTCATCCATTTCCTGTGGCTTCAGCTGCCCCCAGTGCCTACAGACTCCAGACCTGCCTCTGGCATTTCTGGCATACCACTTGGCTGTGCCCATAACCCTTGACTTGATAGGCCCATGCCTGCTTCTCCTGTCTCTGCTTAGTCACCACCTCCTCAATCTAAACTCATCCCCTCGCCATCTCTTACCTGCTGACCCTGCTGATCTCCTCTCACTGGCTGCCAAGATGTCTTCTCTCAAACCTGACTAGCCCTCTCCCCTCCTACAATTTCCCATAACCTTGGGGGGTCCATCCCACCATCTCTTACCTGCTGACCCTGCTGATCTCCTCTCACACTGGCTGCCAAGATGTCTTCTCTCAAACCTGACGAGCCCTCTCCCCTCCTTCTACAATTTCCCATAACCTTGGGGGGTCCATCCCGAAACTGGCCACATCTCATTTTTTCTCGTTGGCCCAGCACACAGAGGGGCCACTGCATGCATTGTCAAGGGAGTAGGTGAGTGAGTGAGAATCCGTCATTATGAGTCTCAGTGCCCCAAACTGAGAGGCATGCGAGAGGCATTTTGCCCATCATAGGCAACACAGTAAGCCTTTGTTCAGTCTGTTTTGATATACCCAACAACTTAGCATATTCTTGATTTTTTATTTCTTTTTGTAATGTGTTCCTATTTCTGTTTTGTTTTGTTTTGTTTTTGTTCTTTTCTTTTTTTCTGTAATTAGGGTTTGAATACCGACTCCGAGAAATATGCAAGGACTTACTGGGTCCGGTTCACTACTCCACTGGAAGCCAGTGGGAGTCAACGGTAGTGGTAGGTGCTTCTTTCATTCTTGCCACAAGAATTCTCTTGAAAAGTGAAGGTGGAAATTTAAAAAGTAAGCCAAAGTGCTTTGAAATTCTTCCTCATTAGATGTCTATAGCACAATGCCTTGGGTCCCAGCATCAGTGAGCAGGTGAGATGCCTGCACTGCACAATCCAGCAAGAGCTGGGCCCTCAGCATGAGGCCTCAGGGGGGTTCAGCCATGCACTTGTGCTGAGGAAAGCTGCCTGCGCAGGGCTGTGGGTTTGTTCAGGAATGAAGGTGAAAGATCCTTCCCTCCCTCATGGAGCTTGCAGTCTGGTAGGGAGGCAGATATAAGCCAGTGGGCAATTTAGTCAACAAGAAAGGTTTAGACATGGATTATGCTTAGAAGGAAATGAGCAGATCAGTAAGACAAGCATCCCTGGGAAAGGGTGACCAGGGAAGACCTCAGAAGAGGACTTTGAGGATGAGCCAGCTCTGCAGAGCCCTGGGGAGAGTTTCCTGGTGGAGGTGGTAGTACATGCAAAGAGGGCTTGGTACATCGAGGCCACCGTGACTGGGACATACTAGGCAGAAGAGAGGGTGATAAGAGATTAGGCAAAAGAGGTGAGCAGGAAGCAGATCATGGAAGGCTTATGAAGATCCAGAGTTTTCGTCTAGGCAGCAGAAGTTATTGAAGGATTTTACACAGATGTGATGTAAGCTGACATAGAAGACCAGTCAGCAGAGGTGATATGAGCTGACATAGACCAATCAGCAGAGATGATGTGACCTGATATAGAAGACCAGTCAGCAGAGGTGACATGAACTAACATAGAAAACTGGTCAGGCCAGACAGCGTGACTCAGTGGTTGAGCATTGACATATGAACCAGGAAGTCATCACAGTTCAATCCCCAGTCAGGGCACATGCCCGGGTTGTAGGCTTCATCCCCAGTGTGGGGTGTGCAGGAGGCAGCCAATCAATGGTTCTCTCGCATCATTGATGTTTCTTTCTCTCTCTCTCTCTCTCTCTCTCTCTCTCTCTCTCTCTCTCTCTCTCTCTCTCTTCCTCTCTGAACTCAATAAAAATATGTTTTTTAAAAAAAGAAAAGAAAACTGATCAGGGCTTGTTTTTTGTGGGGTTTTTTTGTTTTGTTTTTTTTCAAAAGTCCTGGCAATAAATGCAGGTGACTTGGATCAATATGATGGCTATCAAGAGGGAAAATAAAACAGATTCAAGATGTGTTTTGGAGGCAGAACAAAAAAAGACTTGGTGTTTGGGTGGTTGGATATGGAGTAGGTGAGGAAAAGAGAAAAATGAATGTGTGGTCAGCTCAAGGTTCTTTTGGCTAGTGTATTGATTGAATTGAAAAAGGAGCAGGTTGGTGAGGAATGGGAGAAGTTGTGGGTCCAAGAGTTAGTTTCAGTGCTTCATTCAGTCACTGAGCAAAGACTGATGGAGCACCTTCTCTGGCCAGGCATAGTCTAGGCACAGGGCAGGCAGCAGTGACTAAGGCTGACAGGGACCCCACCTTTATGATCTTCATTCTTGTGGAGAGAGGCAGATTCAAAACAAGTGAACAAGTACATACAAAGTGTTGGGTGGGGGTGGGTGCCATGGAAAAAATATATATAAGGCAGGGGGTAGGGAGTACTGGCAGGATGCAATTTTATATGTTGGGTGATCAAGGAAGACCTAATTGACTGAGCAGAAATCGGAAAAGGTGAGAGATGAAGCCCCACAGATATTTGGGGAAAGAATATCCAGGCGGAGGGAACAGCAAGTATAAAGGCCCTGAGGTTGGAGGTTGGGCGTCTTGCAGCGTAAGAGGAACAGCTGAGCAGAATGGCAGTGGGAGAGTCAGTCTCACGAGGTTCTAAAGGACCTGGTGTATACTTGGCCTCCTCTACTTTTTATTCCCTTTTAAAAAAAATATTTTTTTATTGATTTCAGAGAGGAGGGGAGAGGGAGAGAGAGATAAATACCAAAATTGAGAAAGAACCATTGATCAGCTGCCTCCTGCATGCCCCGCACTGGGGATCGAGCCCACAACCCAGGCATGTGCCCTTGACTGGATTCGAACCCAGGACCTTTCAGTCCACAGGCCAACACTCTACCCACTGAGCCAAACCAGCTAGGACTCCCTTTTTATTATGTTACAATAGATCTTAATTTGGTTGGCTAATAAAAACTTAGAGCTTTGAAGGTATTAGGCTGTGCCACAGACTTTTATCATCCACTATTGTTGCTAAAAACTGCCAGGAATCTGATTTCCATTGTTTTGTAAATTATTTTAGGATCGACCCTTACTTGGTGTTTTGAAGTTTCACAAAGCTCTAAGTCTATGTCTTTCATTCATTCTGTGTATTTTCCTAGGTTCTCTTTGATTATATTCCATTTTCCCCATCATGAGAAATATAATATCCTCTTTTTGGAATCTGTTATATTATTTTTATAGTTTCAGTTCTCCCCATATTTTCATTTTAGTCTTTTATCTACTTGAGCATCGTTCTACTATGAGGAGCCCTTATAGATCTGTTTCTATTTCCTATAAATATTTCTGCTAGTTCTCATTTATATTGTCTTACCTCCTTATGTGCCTGGTTGGTTTTGACTGTCTGCTAGACTTGGTATTTGAAGGATTATTTGTAGAAGTGTTTTGAAGCCTCAGTAATGTTAATCTTCTTCAACAGAGCACTTTTATTTGCTCTTGGCCCTAGCCCTACAAGGCTCCCTCAACCAATTCAGGGATTGAAGTCTTCTGGGCTACCTGGGGACTCAAAGCTGGGTACTAATTAGTGCACGGACTGGTTTACTACCAGTCTACCCTTATTCTAGAGTGCATTTCTTTGGAGACTAGCACAAAGGAAGGGTGATTTATCAGGGACCCCACTTTTCATGAGTCCTATGCCCCTGCTTTGGTCCCCCTAAGCCCTCAAGTCTAATAGATGCTCTGCTCAGCCTCTTCCTCATCAATGAGTGTTCCCAAGCCCTAGCCAGTTTGTCTCAGTGGATAGAGCGTTGGCCTGCGGACTGAAGGGTCCCAGGTTCGATTCCCGGTTGGGGAACATGCCCGGGTTGTGGGCTCAATCCCCAACGTGAGGTGTGCAGGAGGCAACCAATCAATGATTCTCATCATTGATGTTTCTCTCTCTCTCTCTCTCTCTCTCTCTCTCTCTCTCTCTCTCTCTTTCTCCCTCTCCCTTCTTCTCTGAAATCAATTAAAATAAAATAAAAAAATAAGTGTTCCCAAAGCAAAGGTGTTTCTCTCTGGATTTCTACCTTCTCCACACTCCAGCTCAATCCACTAGCACTTGAGCTCTCTGAGGTCTGTTTCTCTTTGTCCAGCTTTGTCCCCTTTCTCAGTGGGAAAGGTTTTTCTGAATTCCCTATAAGAACACCTCACCTCTAGGCAGCCTGATGGGCTATCTGCTGAGGTGGGAGACAGGTAGGCCAGTGCCCAACCAACCACTCCTGTGGGGCTTCACTCTGGGAGCCTTAGGGCAAAATGTCAGCAAGAGCTCTACGTAACAGTTCTCTGTCTCAGCCTGAAGGTAAGCCTTCTAGGCTAGTGTGGTCAGGCAAAAGGGAGCACAGACAGGCCACTGATTCATGGCCATGCACTCTCCCTGCCTCCTCCTCCCGGCTGGTGGTTTTTGCTATCTCTGAGTAGGATGCCTTATTAGGGATTTGCCCAGGAGAGTCTGTGGCTTCCTTCCTAGAAGCACTGTCAGTGTGGTCCCACTTGCTTAAACTGCTTAAAATAGCTGGTCTGCTCATAGTGCGTGGGCAAATCCATGACAAAATTTCTAGAAATTGCTTTGTGGGAATTCTTATATATTAGGGAAGTTACTCTTTGTGATATGAGCTGCTAGTATGCCTCCAAAGATCCAGGGGACTCCAAAGATCCAGGCTTCTTTCCCTCAAGGATCATGACTCAGTGTGCATAGGAGGGAGGTGGAAACAGAGGGTTGAGGCACTAAGCAGCCATCCTTCAGGTGCCTGAGCTCTGTGCTCACCACTGTCTCTTCAGCCAGGGCCTGCTATTGGAAGCCCCCTCTGCAAAGGTCTTTATTGTAGGACCTGTGTCATTGGCCAGAGAGAGGGTGATGAGCTGTTTCCAGGCTGCTGCCTGAAACAGTGAGGAGCATCGCCCATTACTGAGCCCTGGGTAGGAGATGATACTTGATGGCTGTTGGTATTGAAACCAGCCTTCAGGCCAGAAGGTAGATCCTCTTGCAGCTTGTCCCTGGTGCTATAGACCATCTGAAATTTTTACTTTGCTAATAGCAGTTTATTTGATATCCTTTCATTTTCTTAAATAGAGTTTTTCAGGTTTTAATTTTAATTTTATTTTATTATTTTTTCTTTTTTTTGGTTTTTTAAATTTCTTGGTGATTTTTTTTTAATTGATTTCAAAGAGGAAGAGAGAAATAGAAACATCAATGATGAAAGAGAATTGTCATCAGCTGCCTCCTGAACACCCCACACTGGGGATCAAGCCCACAACCCAGACATGTGGCCTGACCAGGAATTGAACCTTGACTTCCTGGTTCATAGGTTGAAGCTCAGCCACAGAGCCACACCAGCCAAGCCCAAACTTTTTTTATTAGAGACCAGAGAATAAACATTTCAGGCTTTGCAAATCCATATGATCGCTTACAACTACTCAACTCTGCGTTGTAGCATAATATGTAAACAAATAGGTAGGATGGATTTGGCCCAAGCCAATTCACAATCTACATGAGATCTGTTATTTTGTTGAGGTTTGCTTTTAGAGCAATTTTTCTTATTTCCATGTGTGCCAAAGAAGAATTTGTGTTCTCTAGTTCTGAGGGCCTTAATGTCCTAATGATCATGTTTACGGAATGTTTGGTTTGAATTACCTGAATTACCTTTCTGGACACATCCCTAATGGAGTGTGTATTAAAATCTCCCTGTAAGCGTAGTTTTGTCCCTCTCTCCTGACTTTCTCTTTTTCCAAAGATGATTTTGTTTCAAACTCTACTTTGATAATTGTAAAACACACACTTTTTTTTTTAAGACCAACATAAACTTTAGCAAGAGGTTGATCACATTACTTTTCATATCTCTTTTAGCATCATCTCTATTTATTTCTTCTTAATTTTGAGTACTTTCTAGAACATTTTCAGGGTGGATCTTTACTGTGGTAAACATTCTGAGGTCTTACAAGCCTAAGATTATTTTTTATTACATCCTCTTACGTGAATAACTGTTTGGCTGGATGAAAAAGTAGATTGAGTTTTTCCCCAGTATATTTAAAATACTACTTTATTGTGCCTCTTGGTATCTCTTCCTTTGTAGTGATATGCTCTTGTTTTTTAAAACTTTTCAGAATTTTTTTGTGTTTGATATCCATAGATTCTGTGTATTTCATTCTAATGTATCTAAAATACCTTTTTTTTATATATCTTCATCAGCACTCAATGAAGCCTTTCAACCTAAGACAGTTCCTTTTTCTTTAATTGTGTGAAATCTATCCATATTATTTCTTCAAATATTTCCTTCTCTCTTTTGTGTCTCTCTCCTGTGGGACTCATGTAGATGTTGGGCCCATTTCCATACTTCATCTGTCCTTACTTTATCTTACAGTCTCTTCCCTTACAGTTTCCCCTCTGCATGCCTCCCTGCTCGAGCACTGGCTGCTCTTCCATCTGATCCACTTGACTCGGTCTTCAGCAGGGTCCATTCTCCTGCTAATTCCATCTCCTTTAACCACTGTATTGCTCAGACTTAATCCCAGACTTTGTTCTTTTCTGTAATTCTTTGTGTGGTTACCATGCTGCTTTAACATTTGGACCTTCTCTTCTAATGGTCAATATTTTTGGTTAGTGGTTTTCCCTTTGCAGTAGCTGTGTTCCTCGGGGTTCTGTACAGTGGAGACCCTGCCTGGCAGTGCATGTTGCAAAGGGTCCAGGCAGACCTTGGTGCCAGTGCACCCAGGCATGGAGGAGATGTGGGCAAGAGCCAAGGGCAGACCCTCCCCCAGGACTGTAAAACCAAAGCCAGTCATTGACTCCGAGGTGCCACCTCACCCCTGGGCTTGACCTCAGACCCCTGGAGGGCATATGCATGAGGGAGCAGCCCACCTCAGGTGGCCATCTACTTGTCCCTCTACCCTGATATTCTACTTGCATCCTCCTCTGGAAGGCCAAGCTACTGTGGTCACTGAACAGTGCAGTTGAAGGCTAGTGGTGACTGTGCCAGCAGACTTAAGGGGCACAGAACCACCCTGGTTTTCTCTGCAGTATCCTTGCACTGTGTCCTTCCCCTGCACCCTGCCACCCACCCCACACGCCCAGGTCAGCCTTTCAGCTCTCCCAGGGCTTCTTAGCGTGCAGAGATATTTTTCTCATCCATCTCTGGTTTCTCCAAGGGGTCCCTAGGGGTCAAATGGGCAGGCACAAGGGTCTCTTTTAGGCCAGGAAACCACCCACAGTCTAGGTCTCCTCACTGACACTTGCACTGAGCCGTCATTTCTGTGCCCACAGGGTCTACGGAAGAGGGAGCTACTGAAGGAACTGCTGCCAGTCATCGGGCAGAACCTCCGCTTCCAGCGTCTCTTCACCGAATGTCAGGAACAGCTCGACATCCTAAGGGACAAGTAGCCTGCCCACATCTGCCCCAACTACAACCAGGGCAGGGCCACCTCTCACCTTGTCGGGCTATAGTAGGACAAGGAGACACTGGCAGGAGGTGGTCTGTTGCTGCTCCCGTGGAAGGGGGCAGCTCTGCTGGCAACTCGTCCCTCTCTCCAGGACCCCCACGCCGAGCAGGGGCTGGGGCTCCGCCCTGCTGCCCTGGGATCAGCGAGGCACACCCAGACCGACCGTCTTCAGCACGGTCCAGAGGTGGACACTAGCCCCTGCCACTGCAGGTGCCGTGCTGCTTCAGCTATGACGAATGAGCCATTTGTGAAGAGAGAGCCCTGAGATGTATTAGTGTATTATGCAGTCAGTAGACTGACCGAGACCTATGTAAAAGGAAAGACTATTCCAACACAAAGACTATTTTTGTACTAGAATTTGCTAACTTGTAATACGGAATTTTCCTTTTGGCCAATAATCAGGATTTCCCTATAAGTCACTTGAACATTGGTTACTTGTAGGAAAAAATTTAAACTCTAATTATGACAGCTACATTGAAAAATAATTGTACTGAAATTAACTTGTCTATCTTCATTTGGTTTTAATTTTTAAATGTTTGTAAAAAGAGACTGTTTGGGGGGGATAGGGCAGAGGGTGGGTGATTTCTTTTGTAAGTGTAAAATAAATGAACACGCATTGGATACCAAATCATCCTGATTCCCCCTGCCTTTCCTTCAACTTCCACCTTTCTCCCACAACTGTGGATCCCTCCTGAAATGGAGAATGACAGAACATCATAGCCAGAAGGGATCTTTGATGTCATCTGATACCACCACTCCCACCCCAGCCCCTCCTTGTGGAAATTCATTTCTCAAGGGGGAGGTCACTTCCCTGGTCATACAGCATCTTAGACAGAGCTGGGGCTCTCAGGCAGTCCACCTCGCATGGTTCTTCTTCCAAACCAGCCATTGAGGTCCTTGGTTCTGGCTGGGCTGTGCCCCAGGTCCCTGATCATGCTGGGCACCAAGGACTGTGGCAGACTTGCTGATTTCATGGAAGGAAATCAGTAAGTAAAGACATGTTTTCTGAAGTATTATGTCTGGAAGCTGAGAGTTTCTTGGAAAGTGGTCTAAGAAGCTGACCCACAGGAGAGGAGAGAGCTAGAATCACAGAATCTTCAAATTTGGTGAGGGCTGGGCACCTGCACCCCTGGGTCATGGACCTCATTGTCACCTCCCTGCCAGCCGTGTGTGATCCTGAATCCGAGGAAGGAGGCCTGGACTCGGGATCAGAAAGCGCAGGCGACTCTGGCCACTGGCACCTCTCTGACTGCTTCCCTGCCTGGAGGCCATCTCCCTGCCTGTCTCATCTGTCTGGTGGCTGGATGAGACCCAGGCACATATGCATGCCTGACATGGCCAGCACACAGGCGGATATGGGCATAGACACCTCAAAAGCCAGGCTGCAAGTGTGAACTTTTCTTCAAGGAGTAAGGAACCAAAGATGCTCTGTGGCCAGGCATCTCCCTTAACTCTGCAGTGAGATGTTGAGAGCTTCGGGCCTACAAGCTACACATGGCTGAAGAACTGACAGGCCTGTCTGGGGTCTGAACCAGCAAAAATCTGTGCCTTACTTTTCAGCTGTCAAATGGAACTGAGGTTAAGAAAACATGGTTGTGAGAACTAACTGGGATCATGTAGGCAACGTCCTGGCACTTGGCAATGCTCTGTTGAAAACTTTGGCAGTCAGTGTTTTTACACTACTATTTGGACAGGAAGACAAGAAACAAAGTTGGAGACTTCTGCTTTCAGCCGAGATGAGTAAGGGGCCCAATTGTCCCTCCTGTCTGAAACAACCAAAGGGACAAAATACATGGAACAAATTACTGGTCTTAAGACACTGGTTATCAGAAAACAAAGGACAGTGATCCCTGGGAGATGGAAAACAAGATGAGCCCTACGACTGCAAAAATCGACTCTATTGTTAGGTGATGGGGCTACACAAAAACAAAGGACAGTGATCCCTGGGAGATGGAAAACAAACAAGATGAGCCCTACGACTGCAAAAAATCGACTCTATTGTTAGGTGATGGGGCTACACGGATGCTGAAAGGGCAGTCTGCAGAGGTACTACAGGGAAAACCATTTTAATTTGAAAGTGAACAGTCTATTCTCTAACATTTTTGGCTACTAGACTGTAAAGCTATTGTGCAGATAATCGCATCATCGCTGTGTTGTTCATGGTAGAAAATAGCAAGTGAGCAACCTGAAGCATTCAAGAACGATAGCGCTCACTCTGGGAGTGCCAACGCAGAATGCCAAAGGCGTCCCCTTCCCTGGCAAACATCTTTTATGCAGCTGAGACATCTGCATTCAAAACGCATGTTCAAATGGTCCCTCTGAAATCAACTGGCCGCTGGGCAAAGGTGCGGCTTCTAGTTATGGACCTGCCACTATTATGTATTCTTGTGCAACCACAAGCAAGCCAGGCGACCCTCAGTTGGTCATCTGCTGCTAGATGCGATCTTTGCAGACTCTTCACACTGATACTCTGACACAGTATTCTCTAGAAATCATATCAGCCATGAAGGATGTTTCCTAAAGGAGCAGGTGCTGAGCCTGGGGCAGGAACACATCTGTCACACACACATACTTGGAAGCTGCCTTTTAGTTTTGGGCATATCTTTGCATTTTAGAAATTGTCCCTGAACCCGCCGGCCGGTGTTGCTCAGTGATTGAGCATCGACCTGGGAACCAGGAGGTCACAGTTCGATTCCGGCCAGAGCACATGCCGGGTTTCGGGCTTGATCCCCAGTGTGCAGATGCAGGAGGCAGCCCAACGATGACTCTCTCTTCATTGATGTTTCTATTTCTCTCCCTTCCTCTCTGAAATCAACTTTCTGAAAAGTGTCCCTGAACCCAACTGCCCAGAAGTTGAGGTAGAATTTATGTAGAGATGCAAGGCCCTAGGCAAGGGCGGCCGGTGACTCAGTTTACCTCTCCTGAAAACCCCATCACTCCCCGAACTTGCTGAGGGCAGCCCACACCCGGTCTGGCGCCCAGGCTCACCCGCAGCAAG